GTCCAAAGCCATGCAACAGAAGGGGATGAGGCTTCAAACCTATCCAGGAGGTGACACCCCCTCCTTCTCCAGAGGCACAGAAAGAGTCAGAGCTGGGGTTCACATCTCAGCTCTGCAAATCAGAGGTGTGGGACCTTGAGTTTACTCCACCTGAATGTAGTTTCCTTATCCACAACGTGGGAGAACAATATACACCCCCATATGGGGTTGAAGTAAGGATTAAGAAAGATAAGGTATGTAACATGCTTTGTAAACAGGCAGCTCTGCATAAATACTAACCAAAGGGCCAAAAGATGAGAGGAACCATTTCATCCATTGGTGGTGCCATATCTTCAGTGCTAACCCAGCTAACTTCTTCCACTCCAGGACAAGAGCAAAGCCACCACAGGAGCCCTCTCCCACAGGCCTTGTCGCCCCAGACCTAACTCGCTCCCTCCCAACCTGCCTGAAGAAGAAACTCGCAGGATTGCGCGGATATTTTCTTCTCGGTACTCCCAGAAAGACTGATGTAGCCTGCGGGGCTGGCGGAAGGAGATGCCTGCCCACCCTCCCTCAGCTTTGTCTGGCTTGCAGGAGGCACTGGGTCTGGCTCCTTCAGGGCTGTCACAGTCCTGAAACCACCACTAGCCTAGTCCATGGATGCCTCAATAGACCCAGTCAGCCCAGACTGGAGGAGTGTCCCAAACCAGCCCAGTGTCCGCCTGCCAGAACTTCAGCTCCTTTCTTCTATGGTGAGGCAAAGGCTAGAAACAAAATGGAATCCATGTCCAAGTGGCTCCTCCATCTTTTGACCAAAGGACCCAAGCAAACATCTTTTGGTGGAGAAATGCCTCCCAGTGTCCTTGACACAGCTGAGTGCTGACATGAGCCTATCCTCTGCCTGAAGATGTGGGACCATTTTTGCCTTAAAATTTGGGGAGGAGGGACATGTAGATTGTGTACACTGTGCCTAGCTAAGGAAATCCTAGGGCCATCTCCAGTTCATTTGTGGGGGAATAAGGATATTTCATAGATACAAATTATTTTTATGCCATGTTGAATTAATCAGGAGAGGAAGGGGAAATCACCTCCTTCAAACTTTTCATCTGATTGTCTAAAATTCTAACCATGCTTTTAACTTATTGTTTTTACCCAGCTCTGAAGGTCATTGTTCCTGCTTGTGCTTGAATAAAATCATATTGGTGTTTGTAATCTGTGCACAAGTGTTTCACTGGAGTGGGAATGCCTGGAATTCATTTGTGCTCTAACTGCCAGAGAGAAAGCTTAACAACCATACAGCCCCACAGACGAGGATCAATCACCATGAGACTTCTGGCTCCCCCAGAATCAGGTTGGTCCAGATGACAGTGACACTCAGTATTTTCTTTGCCAATGCTTAAAATCCATCAGCATAATGGAGCCCTCAGAATCTCCCTTATCTCTGGGGTGGGTAATTCTGGCTGGGGCTGTCAGACCACAAACACGTGAGCAGCTTCCACAGACAAAGCTTGCCCTCCCCGGTAGGGAGAATAAGAAAGGGGCCGTGGCTGGGCATGGTGGCTCAAGGCTGTAATCCCAATATTTTGGGAGGCCAAGGCGGGCAGATCACCTGAGATCAGGAGTTTGAGACCAGCCTGGCCAACATGGCAAAACCCCATTTCTACTAAAAAAAAATATACAAAAATATACAAAAATTAGCGGGGTGTGGTGGTGCACACCTGTCTCAGCTACTCCAGTCTCAGCTGCTCAGAGGGTGAGGCAGGAGAATCGCTTGAACTCAGGAGGCAGAGGTTGCAGTGAGCCAAGGTCACACGACTGTACTCCAGCCTGGGCAACAGAGCAAGATTCTGTATCCAAAAAAAAGGGTGGAGGGGTGGTCAGGGACAGATTCAGATTAAGCAGTGTGTCTGGGCTACAGGCTTTGACCTTGAAGTACATGTCACTTCCCTGTCCTCAGAACAACTCTCTAACTCTAGATATTATGATATCTAGAGTTTCTATAAGCTCAATGTTTTGCCTCTGTGTGGTTAGGAAGTGATTCACCACACAAGAAATCCCCAGAGGTGTTGCAAGGCTACTGCTTTCAGTGATGAAAACAAGGTACAGCCAGTAAGTGCTCTGAATTTAGAGACTTCATGGAGAAAGACCATGTGGGCTAGAGCAGTCAGGGAAGGCTTCCTGGAAGAAACAGGTCTTGGGGTGAGCCAGGCTGTGGACAGCTATAGAGAGCCAAGAAAGCCATGAGCCACTTGCAGCTGGAGATTGAGACCAGTCTGGCTGTGTCTGAGCCTCTCCTCATCTGTAAAACAGATAATCATCCCAGCTTCATGGGGTTGTGAGGAAGATCAAATGAGACGGCATTTGTGAAAGTGCTTAGCCTACACTTGGTACATGGTGGAAGCTTAGGAAATGTCAGCCCCACCTACTCTCCTTACGCTCCAGAAGAAACCAGTAGAAAGGCAAGCACACAGCCACTGAGGCAGGCAGGGCACTCCCAGGTCTCGGAGGGTGCAAAGTGATACGGGAACCTCAAGGAAGGAGTAGGTGCCGCCTTTTTGGTGACGAGCCCTTTGCCTTCTATTTGTCTCTGCTCCCTAGTTCCAGCCTGCCAGCCTACCCCTCCCCAGCACCACAGAGGCCGACCTCTCCCTCAAGTCACCAGCACAGAGCATTCAAGGCCCAGGGCTCCGCTTCCTTTGGGGCCTAGGGAACCTAAAGAGGGGCAGTCGGGGCCCAGTTCTGAAGGGGAAAGCCTCAGGTAAAGGGTATCTCTCCAAATCCCACTTCAGCTCCCTCAGACAACCTGATTGGGGTCAGGAGGACACATGCTGCTCCTACCCCAGGCTGAGAGCAGCCTCTGATGGGTCGAGACCTTCTACCTCCACTTCAAAACAGTGTGTTATTTATCCGTATCTTTTCCCTGGCCAGGCGTGGTGGCTCATGCCCGTAATCCCAGCACTTTGGGAGGCTGGGGTGGGCGGATCACAAGGTCAAGAGATGAAGACCATCCTGGCCAACATGGCTGAAACCCAGTCTCTACTAAAAATACAAAAATTAGCTGGGCGTGGTGGCACATGCCTGTAATCCCAGCTACTCGGGAGGCTGAGGCAAGAGAATCGCTTGAACCTGGGAGGCGGAGGTTGCAATGAGCGGAGGTTGCGCCACTGCACTACAGCCTGGGTGAGAGAGTGAGACTCCGTCTCAAAAAAAAAAAAAAACTTATCCCTAGAAGTTGAATCTATTTCCCAGTGACAACTCCGAGGTAAATGACTTGCCTAGGCAAGCGGAATGGAGTAAGGCATTTGGTAGGTGTTCCCACCACCAGAACGAGCCAGTGACTCCCTCTCTTCCCTTTGAGCACTCTCCACAGAAACCTGTGAATAGGTATTTCTGATCCCTAGGCTAGTTGCATCCCAGCCCCATAGCAGGCAGCCTTGGGACTTCTAGCATGGGCTGGCCTTTGGACATGGAGCCAAAGCAGACAGACCAGTCCCTGCCCTCAAAAAGCTCCCAGGCCAAAGAGAGCTCAGCCCTCCCTCCCCCTGGGTTTCTCCAGAGCCTGCTGCCTCCTGCTTTGGGATCCTACTGTACTCTTCCCCCACAGACTCCCTGCAGTTTACCCCACCACCCCCAGGCTAGCAATTACAGATGGAGCCTAGAACCTACTTCCTGAGCCCTCCTAATCTCAGCAGCCCTGGCAGCCACTTACCTCCTAACTCTAATGCAGCTGCTTATTCTGCTGAGATTAAGGTCAGGGCCTGGTCCAAGGAAGAGGACAGGTATAGCCCAAGCTTTGCACTTGAGCATCTGTACTTCTGACCACCTGCCCTATGACCCTGGCTCTGCACCCAAGTCCAGAAAAGACCTCTGCCTACTCCTCCTCTGCCCTACCCAGTTAACTCCCTTTCCTTCCTTCCCTTCTGCTTCTCAGTCCTCCTCTCCCCTCTCTTCCTCTTCTCCCTTTTTCCCATCACCTGGGGCTGATTCAGCTATGCCCAGCCCTTACTCTCAGTGCCCACAGCAGGAGCCTCCAGTAGCTGCTGTGGGGCACTCTTTCAACCCACCCCAGCGCCCTTGGCTCCAGCAGAGTCCATGCTAAAGCCTCCAAGTGTCACGTCAGAGAGAATGCTGGTCACAGCCGGTAAGCCCAAAACGCCTTAGAGTTTACAGGCCGCAGTCAGCCCCCACCACGTGCTAATCACATGACCTGGCTAGCATTGCCCTCCCTGAGATTCCACTTCCTCCTCAGTGGTAAGATTTTAGGATCCCTAGCACCAAAAAGAAATGAAATACTGATACAGGCTCCAACATGGATGAACTTCAAAAGCATTGGTACACTAAGTGAAAGAAGCCAGTCACAAACAAGCACATATTGGATGATTCCATTTCTAGGAAGTGTTCAGAAAAGGCAAGTTTATAGAGACAGAAAGTAGATTGGTTAATGGTTGCCTGAGGCTGGGGAGCGAGGGAAGGGAAGTGACTACTAATGTTTATGGAGTTTTCCTGGGGGAGCAGGGGGTATGATGAAAATGTTCTAAATTAGATTGTGATGATGGTTGCACAACTCCAAATATACTAAAAACCATTTGAATTGTGCACTTGAAACAGATGAATTGCATGGTATGTGAATTCTATATCAATAAATCTGTAATTTAAAAAAAAATTAGGCCTGGCATGGTGGCTCACACCTATAATCCCAACAGTTTTCAAGGACGAGGCAGGATGATCACTTGAGCCTAGGAGTTCAAAACCAGCCAGGGGAACACAGCGAAACTTCATCTCTATTAAAAATTTTAAATTACAAAAAAAAAAAAAAAAGGCCGGGCGTGGTGGCTCATGCCTATAATCCAAGCACTTTGGAGGCCAAGGCGGGTGGATCACCTGAGGTTGGGAGTTCAAGACCAGCCTGACCAACATGGTGAAACCCTGTCTTTATAAAAAAAAAAAAAAAGTAAAGAATTAGAATCTTAATAGTATCCATCTCATAGGAGTGTGTAAAATAGTTGTGTATGTAAAATATTCAGCACATAGTAGGCACGAAGGAATGACAGTTATTATTAAGATGCCTGCGAGAGCTGTGCCCAGCCTATCATGGGAGGCCTTGACCTTTGGACTCAAAAGTGGCAGCAGGTCCACACTACCATACACCCTTGTTACCAAGGAAGTGTCCACAGTTTGAAGGAGCTATATTAAAGCACCCCAAGTCAAGAGGACTAAACCAGATCTGGAACTCACTGACCTCCCCCCTCACCTCACTGCACCTCACTAGCCAGCTTCTTGTCAAGTGATTAGGCTGTCAACCAGCTTCTCTAGGATAAGGTTTCAGGTCAGCCGCGTGTATAAGACCAATGCCAAGCCAGAAGCAGCAGAGACAACCGTGAATGGCAAGGAGGGGCCATCCGATCCCTGCTGCCACCTCCCGGAATGGAGCCCTAGGGAGCCCCTGTGCTGCCCTTGCCCTGGCAGGACTCACAGGTAAGACCCCTTTCTCTTCCCTCATCCCTTCCCCTCTCCCTCTCCTTCTCCCTTCTTGTTCTCCATTTAATTGGAGGCTTACAGAGAGCATCCCTGAGCAGTCAGTGCTCACTAGCCACAGCATGTCAGAACTGATAGAGATTCAGTCCAGCCCCCACCTTATGAAAAGGGAGGTGTGGCCCTGATGAGGGTACTGTGGCAGGGCTAAGACTTGAACCCAACACCTGTGTCACTCACCCAAGACTCACGTCCCCTTTGCCTTGTAGGCTGCCTCTGGTGGGATTTTGCAAATCCCCATAGTCAGAAAGTGGTTTTCTTCTTTGTCTGCCCCAGAATCTCTGGGATTCCCTGGAGCATAAATCCCTCTCTTTCCATGAGGACCCTGGGGCCCTCTTCCTGAGTAGGGATGACAGGCACATCTGACCTGAGGCATGGTCCAGATCGTTTACAGATCCCATGGTCTCTCCGCCCAGATGGCTTCCTCCTTGGGATGCTGTGAAGGCTTTGCCCAGGAGGGTGGGTCGGAGTAGGGGAGGCAATATCATGTTGGGTAGGATGTCTCAAAATGGGGTCCTCTACCCCCTGCTTCAGAGCTGCCACGGGGAATTTGTTCCTAATGCAAATTCCTAGGCCACACCCCAGACCTAAATCAGGATCTCTGGGGCTGAGGGCCGAGAATCTAGTCTGTAAACAAGCAGCCCAAGGGATCCTTAGCAATCCCTGAAGTCTGAGACTCGACTCTCTGGGCAGTGGAAGAGGCACAGCTTCAGATGTCAGACAAATGTAGGCACCAATCTCAGCTCCAGCACTTCAACTGTATGACTAGCTAAAGCCCCGGACACCTCAGGTCCCTGGTTTATGAAATGGGAATAATAATAACAACAATGACTTGTAGCCTTATAAAGGGATCGAATCAGTCAGTGTCTCTAAAGCCCTCAGCACGGTATCTGGTGCAAGAAGCACCCAGCAAACATTAATGGGCCATGCAGACTAGAACATCCCATCCCTCAGGAGCCCCAGCAGAGCTACAGGAATGAGGATTCCACTTTTGACTTCTTCCTCTACTGGCCAGTGGCAAAGTACTGCTGGCTGCTAGGGGTGTGGGGAGGCTGAAGTGAACTGGGAAGAAGATTAGGGACTACTGGCCTCAGAGCAGCTACTACCTGTGCCCACCATTGTGGCTTCCCCTCCTCCCCAAGCTTAACTACAGAAAGTTCTAGAGCCCTGCCTGCAACATGGGCTTTTGACCTGAGTCTACATCCATCTATTCTATTTCCCATGGATGGCTAAGAACTGCCCCTCTTATCAAATCATCAGGCTGAGGCCAGGATTTTGAGACCAGCCTAGGCAACATAGACCCCCATCTCTACAAAAAATAAAAAATTGGGCCAGGCGCAATGGCTCATGCCTACAACCCCATCACTTTGGGAGGCCCAGGCAGGTGGATCACGAGGTCAGGAGTTCAAGACCAGCCTGGCCAAAATAGTGAAACCCCCGTCTCTACTAAAAATATAAAAAATTAGCCAGGTATGGTGGTGGACGCCTGTAATCCCAGCTACTTGGGAAGCTGAGGCAGGAGAATTGCTTGAACCTGGGAGGCAGGGGTTGCAGTGAGCCAAGATCATGCCATTGCACTCCAGCCCAGCAACAATATTAGACTTCATCTCAAAAAAATTAATTAAAAATAAAAAATTAGCTGAGTATGGTGATGAACGCCTATAGTCCCAGCTACTCAGAAGGCTGAAGGTGGGAGGGTCACTTGAGTCCAAGGGGTCAAGACTACAGTGAGCCTGGATTGCACCTCTGCACTCCAGCCCAGGTAACAGAGTGAGATCCTGTTTCAAAAAAAAAAATTGGGGAAAACAGGTGTCTGAGCCTCGGTTTCCTCATCTATACAGTGCAGATACCACTACCAGGTCTGCCTGCCCATGGGAAGGAGGGGAAGGAGAGGGGCAGGAGGAAGATTGCAAAATCCAAGGGATGGGAATGTGACCTGCCTTTATAGGCCAAATTCACACAGCTTAAGTATGGCAGCACCCAGGCTTCTCCCTTTCTAAAGCCCTCCTGGGTGCTGAGGAGCCCCTGGGGGCCAGGCCAGACATTACTCAATCTGCCTCCTCTGGCCTGTCTCCTGCAGCCTCTCCGCTGCACTGAAGCCCAGAACCGTGAAGCAGCCTCTCTCCTTGGACCTCCTCTGGCCCTAAAGGGACTGGGTGGAGCCTTCCAAGACCATGGTTGGACTGAAGCCTTCAGACGTGCCTCCCACCATGGCTGTGAAGTTCCTGGGGGCAGGCACAGCAGCCTGTTTTGCTGACCTCCTCACCTTTCCACTGGACACAGCTAAGGTCCGCCTGCAGGTAGGTGCCCTTTGGCCAAGGGTCACTGATCGCGTAGAAGGAGGAACTAGTTCTCCTCATGCTATGTGCCCACATGCCCTTCCTCACTCGGAACCCTGACAAAGACTCTCACTCCACTGCTTATGACCCCTCCTGGCCTCTTCCCGTCACCATTCACCAGGACAAAAAAATCTAAATTCTTTGCATGATGTAACAGGGCCCTTTATGGCCTAGGCCCTACTTTGTAAACCATACAATGTGAGGTAAAAGGAAGGAATTAATGCTGGGTGTGGTGGCTTATGCCTGTAATCCCAGCACTTTGGGAGGCCAAGGTGGATGGATCAGGAGGTCAGGAGTTCGAGACCAGCCTGACCAACATGGTGAAACCTCATCTCTACTAAAAATGCAAAAAATATTAGCCAGGCGTGGTGGCACATGCCTGTAATCCCAGTTACTCGGGAGGCTGAGGCAGGAGAATCGCTTGAACCCGGGAGGCGGAGGTTGCAGTAAGCCAAGATCACACCGTTGCACTCTAGACTGGGCAACAGAGTGAAACTGTCTCAAAAAAAAAGAAAAAATAAAATAAAGAAGGAATTAACTGTGTGACCTTGGCAAGCCACAAAGCACTTCTAAAATTGGAGAAACAATCTGTCCCTCTGATTTGCTCTGAAGATCAAACACCAAACCATGTGTAAAATGCTGCTCTGTGAACAGTAAATGCTGCCCAGCATTTTCACTGTGATATGAAGGCTGTGATCAGCGTGGTTGTTCTCAGGCCCTGCCCAGGCAGGCCCAGCTCCAGCAGGGTTCTTGTGTACACAGCTCCCTCTTGCCCTCCCATCCAAGTCCTTGCCCCCTGCTGTTGTCCCTCAGATCCAGGGGGAGAACCAGGCAGCCCAGGCAGCCCGGCTTGTGCAGTACCGTGGCGTGCTGGGCACCATCCTGACCATGGTACGGACCGAGGGCCCCTGCAGCCCCTACAATGGGTTGGTTGCCGGCCTGCAGCGCCAGATGAGCTTTGCCTCCATCCGCATCGGCCTCTACGACTCCGTCAAGCAGTTCTACACTCCCAAAGGCTCAGACAGTGAGTGCCCGGGTCCCTGAACACCAAAGGGATGGCCGAAAGTGTGTGGGTCAAGAGACCAGGGAAGTCCAGACTTGGAGGCAGAGCCAGGGGCAGGGGGATGTTGGTACTGGACGCTCATAAGGAGACTCTGAGTGGCCATCAAGGAAGCTGCAAGGGCAGCCCCTGGAGAACAGCTTATCCCAGAGAACTGCTCAGTAGGGGACACTGGCCACTCTCTCTGCCTGTCCCAGACTCCAGCGTCACTACCCGGATTTTGGCGGGCTGCACGACAGGAGCCATGGCGGTGACCTGTGCCCAGCCCACAGACGTGGTGAAGGTCCGATTTCAGGCCAGCATACACCTTGGGCCTGGGAGTGACAGAAAATACAGCGGGACTATGGACGCCTACAGAACCATCGCCAGGGAGGAAGGAGTCAGGGGCCTGTGGAAAGGTAAGTCTGGACTCCTGGTGCAGGCGGCCCTAGGCAGAACTTTCCCTCCCCTCTGGCTGGGGCAGGGACCAGCTAGGAGGGGATTCCCACTATGGCATGTTCCAGCGATTCTAGAAGAACCTCCCAACTAAAGATACCTCACTGACCTGCCACAGCCCTGCGAACTCAGTTCATTTTACCAGACCTTTGCCATGTGCAGGTTGCTGTGAGCAAGACAGAAATAAATTTTTTTTTTTTTTTTGAGACAGAGTCTGGCTCTGTTGCCCAGGCTGGAGTGCTATGGTGCGGTCTCAGCTCACTGCAACCTCTCCCTCCTGGGTTCAAGCAATTCTCCTGCCTCAGCCTCCCAAGTAGCTGGGATTACAGGCGCCCACCACCATGCCTGGCTACTTTTTGTATTTTTAGTAGAGATGGGGTTTCACCATGTTGGCCAGTCTGGTCTCAAACTCCTGACCTCCTGATCCGCCCGCCTCGGCCTCCCAAAGTGCTGGGATTACAGGCATGAACCACCACGCCCAGCCAGAAATGAATTTAAGACACCTCCACACGCCCAGGGCATGAGGACAACAGAGGAGATAAGTCAAGACGCAGCCATACCACAGGCAGGATGTGCTAGGGGTCGCCCCAGAGGTGGAGCTCCAGTGGCAGGCTCTGTAGAGAAGGTGACACCTAAACTGGGCCTGGAAGACTGAGAGGGCTCTAGGTGTGTGGTGGCAGAAAGGGAGGGGCCCTTAAGCAGGGCCCAGAGGAAAAAGAGGAGCATCCGGAAAGCAGAGCTGTGAGGAGTGGGCGCAGGGAGATGCAATGAGAAAGGGCTTCCTTGGGAGTAAAGCTGGAGGCTTCCCTACATGACCACATGGCAGCCACCGTGATGAACGCAGGACTCTCTCCCACATGTGGACCAGAGGTTGCATGAATGCTTATAGAAGAAACTGACCCAGGGAAGTTTAAGGGCAGGACACCTCTTAAGTGAGGGCTCTTCACTCACTTGTTGGGTGCCCTTCAGAGCTTGTCCCCTTATCTGTGAAGCCAGGGGTTTGGTCCTGACACTTTCCTAGGGCCCTGCTGGCAACACCACATTCTGTCACTGTTCCAAGAGCTCAGCCTCCCGCAGAATGACTTTCTTTTCTGGCTACAGCTGGGTCTCGGGGAGGCATATTTTAATTTTGACAGCTATTGCAGATTACCCTCCAAAATGTGGCCAAATGAACACAAGTGGGCCTCTCTGTTCTCTGCCTCTAAGATGGACATGGACAGTCTGAGAGTTGTTAACCCTAGAAAGGAAAAGTGTGGAATCTGCTCAGCTAGGGTGGGCTTTTCTGGCTGAGACCATTGGAATGAGGCACTATGGCCCCCAAACTGGGGCCCGTGGCCTTGCAGCCAGGTCGTCCATTTCTACCATTTCCCATTCATCCATCCCTACCGCCTTCTTAACAGGAACTTGGCCCAATATCATGAGGAATGCCATTGTCAACTGTGCTGAGATGGTGACCTACGACGTCCTCAAGGAGAAGCTACTGGAGTCTCACCTGCTCACCGGTGAGGTTCTGAGCTCCAGGCAGGCAGCCCTCCCTCAGCAGGGAGGGAACGCAGAACTCCATGGAGTGGGCACCAGCCAGAGGCAACTGGGCTTTAGTAGGAGCAGAGAGAGGAGGAGTGCCCAGTAAAAAGTGCCTGGTACATTATGGTGACAAGCAGGAAAGATGCCTGGGCTGGGAGGCAGGAGACCTGGGTGCCAGTCCCAGCACCGCCTCTCACTATGTAGCTTTGAGCAGGGGTCTCTCACCTTCTCTCACTTCAGTTTCCTCAAACAGGCTGTATGACCTTCCACCTCTGGATCAGCGCAGGCCTAGTTTGCCGGTACTTGCCAAGAGCTTAGCCCAGGGCACTGTAAACATATGGAAAATACTGTCCCATGCTCAGGGAGTTCACGGCTGAGTTGGGGACAAACAGTGAATACATATGGACAGAACACAAGTGCACTCCTTGATATTCGCTCATCCTTCCCTCTGCAGACAATTTCCCCTGCCACTTTGTCTCTGCCTTTGGAGCCGGCTTCTGTGCCACAGTGGTGGCCTCCCCAGTGGACGTGGTAAAGACCCGGTATATGAACTCACCTCCAGGCCAGTACCTCAGCCCCGTCGACTGTATGATAAAGACGGTGGCCCAGGAGGGCCCCACAGCCTTCTACAAAGGGTGAGCCTCCTCCCGCCTCCAGCACTCCCTCCCAGAGAACAGGGGCTTCTTTCTTTTCTAATGTGGCTACCATGGGTCAAGCTGGGATGTAGCAGTGAAGAGCACAGATGTAAATGCCACAAAGGAGAAGTCTAAAAAACCGTGCAAGTAAAAGAAAGAAAGTGAACTATACCTGATGTGGAGAGTTAGGGAAGCCTGCCTGAGAACAAGCATTCTAGGAATAGGTAAAAGTGCTGCCTTCTCCAAAGGAAGTTAACAATCCTGAGACCTCCCCAACCTCCTGGCATGGCCATTGAGCACCACACTGGCCACAGCCAGTGCTTTAACACTGTCCCCACACGCTCCATGTTTTCTTGCTTCCACGCCTTTGCACTTCTCCCACTGCACGGAATGCCTCATCATCTACAGGCTTTCTTTCTTTCTTTCTTTCTTTCCTTTTTGAAAAGGAGTTTTGCTCTTGTTGCCCAGGCTGGAGTGCAATGGTGCGATCTCAGCTCACCGCAGCCTCAGCCTCCCGAGTAGCTGGGATTACAGGCATGTGCCACCACACCTGACTAATTTTTGTATTTTTGGTAGAGACAGGGTTTCTCCATGTTGGTCATGCTGGGCTCAAACTCCCAGCCTCAGGTGATTCTCCCGCATCGACCTCCCAAAGTGCTTGGATTACAGCCACTGTGCCCGGCCTACAGGCTTTCAATCTTAGCCATCCTTCAAGACCAGTTCAAATGCCACCTCCTCCGTAACACTCTCAGGTGTAAATTTTTCCTCCTTCCTGGGAACTTCTGCAATGCCATTTGACACCATTTTTATGGTATTTATCACCTCCTGCCTTGTGTTATAGTATTGGTAAGCTTAAATTATTCCTCAGGCAAAGGGCAAGTTCCCGAAAGTCAAAGTGGCTCAGCTGTCTTAATCTCCCACAGTCCCTTGCACAAAGCAAGCACTCGATAATGCAGGTTGTGTATGATTATCACGACAGCTACATAACTCTATATTAGGCCTCGTGCCGAGCACTTTACACAAGTTATCCCATCAACCCCTTGAACTGGGTAGTATTGTCCACATTACTTAAGGGTAAGGCTGAATGACAGAAAAGTTAAGTAATTTATCCAAGATCACAAGTTAAAATGGTGGAGCCATGGCTCAAACCCAGGCCATCAGATACCACACCCAATGGTGTTGTTTGTCCTACTGGTAAGCTCTTAGCTTGGCCCTCTCACCTCCCACTGCTGATGCCTTCAACAGAGTTTTCTGGTACCTGATGTTAGAATGGACCCAACAAGTGAACAAGAGCCACTATAGGTTCTCAGTTGCAATTGACAGACTGTTCTTCTGAAAAGTGCCTCTGTCATTACAGTCTTCAGCTGGAGCCACTTCTCTCAGTTACTGCTTTCACTTGTCCAGCATTTCTGGATCATCTCGTATGTGCCAGGCCCTGGGTTATGCTTTCCTCAAAAAGCAGCAGATAAGTTGGTGATATTTACTGAGCATTTACTGCTGCTGGGTCCTGTGCTGACATTAATTCATTTAATCTCCACAACTAACCCTACAAGGCAGATACTGTTATTTTCTCATTTTACAGATGAGGAAACTGAGGCTTACAAAGATTAAGTAATATGTCCAGATTATACAGCTAGAAACTGGGAGAGCTTGGATTTGAACCCATGTCTGACTGGACTCTAGAGTTTACATTTGTTGTCACAGTGCTCTAGTCCCTGTGAGGGTCAGGAAAACCCATGGCATGAGTTTATGGTGCCCAAGGCGAGTCCTCCAGAGGAAAGAGCAACCAGCCAGGCAAAGAGGAGAGGAGGGGACAGTCCAGGCAGAGGGAGCAAGAGGAGCAAAGAGGCCTGGCATCGCCAGGGAACGTGACTAGCTGAATCTGGTGGAAGCAAAGGGGCCCAGGAGGTGGTTAGTGGAGGGACAGGCTAAGAGGAGGGCAGGGGCCAGCCTGTGGGCTTCTCCCTGAGTTGGTGAGCCACAGGTGACGTGAGGACACTCTCCTTGCAGTGCCATTATAGCACAGCCAGGCTCTCTAGAGATGAGCTAAATCTGGTGCCACACTGTCTTCATCCTGCAAAGCCCAAGCTTCTCCATGTCCTGGCAGGGGGCCATGTTAGGGCGGGCCACTGGGATGTAACTGAGCCCAGAAACACTCAGCAGCAAGGGGGAGTCAGGTCAGACAGCGCATCTGAGCCGCATCTCTGACACTTACGAGCCACTGGTCTTTGGATGAGCTCTTAACCTCCCTGGGGCTCAGTTTGTGAAAAGGAACCTGGCAGCAACATGGCTGCCTTATAGAACTGTGAGAATTTGCTGCCTGACACAGTAACCTGGCTCAAAATGTGAGTTTTTTTCTTTCTCTGACTCCAACTTCTGCTTAAATCCCCTCAGCAGAAAAAGGGGAAAAAAAAAAAAAAAACAGAGAGACTGAAAGGATTTCAGAAAGCACTTGTGATGGACAGAAGTCTAGGCCCTCTGGCTCTCCCACTGTGTCCCGGGAGGGCACATGCGTCTGCTGTGGTCTCCTAGCGCTCCACCTGATGCATTGGTTGTTTTTCTCATCAGATTTACACCCGCCTTTTTGCGTTTGGGATCCTGGAACGTGGTGATGTTCGTAACTTATGAGCAGCTGCAACGGGCCCTGATGTTATGGGAATCTCCGTTTTGAACAAGACAAGAAGGCCACTGGTAGCTGACATATCCAAAACCATTTGAGAATGGAAGAAAACAGTGGATCCACACCCACATGGACACAGACCCACACATGTTTACAGAACTGTTGTTTACTTGTTGCTGATTCAAGAAACAGAAGTAGAAGAGGAGAAAGGATTCTGGTCTTCAGTGCTTTGCCTTGAGAAGACCTTTGTTTTGCACTGACAAGATGGAAAATAAATTATATTAATTTTTGAAACCCATTAGGCATGCCTAATATTTAGGCAACAGAAAATAAAGCAAAATAGATCCATTTGGATAAAATGGAAGGTTGGAGACATGTATTCCCCAAGAAATCTGGTTAGACAATGAACGATAAGCAGGAAAGATGGCAAGCACGGGACAGGAGGGGCCCACGATACGGCGGGAGATCAGCCGAGGGGCCTGGAGGGACGCCACCCAGCACCACAGAGCTGGTGACTGCAGCCGTCACACATGCATCATCAGCCTGTTTGTCATGTGTCTGCCTCATCGAGTCCTTTGGATTCTAAGAAGTGCAAGGAACAAGATAAAAAACTAAAGCCTGTGCCAAAGAAGCCCTGCTGGGCCAGTTCGATGCTGGGGTTTGTAAGTATTTGCTGACAATGCGGAAAAATCAAAAGGGCAGCCTCCCCTTTCCTATAAAATGGAGGGAGCAATCCCTTCCTTGTCCACCTCACCGGGGGTGTTACGACATGCAAGTGAGAAGCTGGGTATGAACGCACTTTATAAAAGCAAAAGCTCTGTGTCAATCTAACTACAAGGACAATGCCTTGGGAGAGATTTTGTCTGGACAGAGAGGAGATGCCAGGGAAGAAGGTTTTGAAAGATACAGTTGTCTAGAGGTGAGACCAAAGGATCCAGAGACTTGAGGACCAGAGGTGACAGTGGATGACACGAAGCCACAGGAGCCCTGCCCCCATGCAGCTCCTTCCCCCCGACCAGTGCTCAATTGTGAGCACCTCAAAGGGTTGTAGGGCTTAGGGGAAAAGAAGCGGATTCCTGGCTAAGAACCTAAAGTAGGAGGACTCGGAATTTTGGGGAAATTATTATGACTCAATAAAGAAATTCACACCTTAGGTGTGGGAGTAAGAACAGCCACTTATCTGCCTTTTCTTTCTTGGAATTTTTCTTTCTCACTTCTATTTCCGGCTTTCTATTTGTCAGGGTGGGGCCATATCCAGCCCCACATGCCTACACTTCCTCTGCCCTCTCTCACTCCATTTAATTGCAGGCAAATTGATTTATTTTTTTAGGGCTCCAGCTTCTGCTTCTGCAAAAGGCAGGGTTGAACCAGATGACCTAGTTCCAAGCTTAAGACTGTACGTCTTTCAAATTGATAATGGGGTCCCAAAATGCCAGCATCTTTTTCTACTTCTTGACAGTCTCGTGTAGCTCTGATTGCCAGGGCTGAGTTCAAACCTCACCCCACTCCACCCCACTCCACCCAACTAACCACCTATCCACAGGGAATCCTTGCACCTCGGTGTGCTACCAGAGAAGTGGGAATAACAATCCCTGCTTCACAGTCTTTTTGGGAGTGTTGACCTAAAACTCCTCGGAAAGCAGGCATGTGGCGTGCACCTGCTACCTGGGAGGCTGAGGCAAGAGGATTGCTTGAGCTCAGGAGTTCGAGACTACAGTGAGCCAAGACTGCACCTGTGAATAGTAACTGCACTCCAGCCTTGGCAGCAGAGCAAGACTCCTTCTCTGAAACAAAACAAACAAAAAAATCATTGGAATACAGGAGGTGCTCAGTAAGTAATTTCCCCGCTTCCCTTCTCCTTGGGAAAAAGCAAATATCTGTTCATCCTCAGCACTTTCCTAAATTTAAATTATAACTTGAGATCAGTTATGTATATAAACTGGAGAGTTCATACAAAAGCAAAAAAAATTTTTTTGATTTAATGTCTGGCTTCGTTTTCAAATAAAACCCATATTTTAAAAAGCTTCTGGCCAGGCTCAGTGAATCCTCCAACTTTGGGAGGCTAAGGCGGGTAGGTCACTTGAAGTCAGGAGTTCGAAAGCAGCCTGGCCAACGTGGTGAAACCCCATCTCTACTAAAAATAATAAATAAATAAATAAATAAATAATAATTTAGCTGGGCATGGTGGGGGGTACCTGTAATCCCAGCTGCTCAGAAGGCTGAGGCAGGAGAACTGCTTGAACCCGGGAGGTGGATGTTGCAGTGAGCTGAGACTGTGCCACTGCACTCTAGCCTAGGCGAGACTCTGTCTCAAAAAAAAAATTACATTAATTACACATTACATTAAAAGTTTCCCTTTTTAGTCAGGCATGGTGGCACATGCCTGTGGTCCCAGCTACCCGGGAGACTCAGGTGGGAGGATCACTTGAGCCCAGGAGGCAGAGGTTGCGGTGAGCCAAGATCACACCACTGCACCCCAGGCTAGGTGACAGAGTGAGACCCTCTCTCAAAAAAAAGAAAAAAGTTGGCCGGGCGCGG